GGGTGGGCGGGTTGAGGGCACACCCAGAACGTGCATCTCTCATCTCTCTCTAGGAGCTAAAAATCTTAAAAGCACTCTGGTACGGAGCTCCCTCAAAGAAAATAACCATTCACCAACCATTTTTAAGAATGAGAAAGGCTTCTATGGCTGTGGCCAGTGCACAATCTGCAGAAGATCTGGGTGTACCCAAAGGGTAATAAAAGACATAGCTCTTAAAGAAAATGTGGAAATTCTGATTAAAGGGACACTATTGTTACCTGAACAACTTTAGCTTAATGAAGCAGTTTTGGTGTATAGAACATGCCCCTGCAGCCTCACTGCTCAATCCTCTGCCATTTAGGAGTTAAATCCTTTGTTTATGAACCCTAGTCACACCTCCCTGCATGTGACTTGCACAGCCTTCCATAAACACTTCCTGTAAAGAGTGCCCTATTTAGGCTTTCTTTATTGCAAGTTCTGTTTAATTAAGATTTTCTTATCCCCTGCTATGTTAATAGCTTGCTAGACCCTGCAAGAGCCTCCTGTATGTGATTAAAAGTTCAATTTAGAGATTGAGATACAATTATTTAAGGTAAATTACATCTGTTTGAAAGTGAAACCAGTTTTTCTTTTCATGCAGGCTCTGTCAATCATAGCCAGGGGAGGTGTGGCTAGGGCTGCATAAACAGAAACAAAGTGATTTAACTCCTAAATAACAGTGAATTGAGCAGTGAAATTGCAGGGGAATGATCTATACACTAAAACTGCTTTATTTAGCTAAAGCAATTTAGGTGACTATAGTTTCCCTTCAAGCAATTTATGACTTGCTACACCAAAAACGTGATCTACCTCTTAACTTGTCCTTGTGGGATAAAATATGTTGGTAGAACGACTAGACCCTTGCACACTAGGATCAGGGAGCATATATATATATATATTTCAAACAGGTTTTGAACAACATAGTGTCTCCAGTCATTTCAAACAATTCCATGACCAAAAGCCAGACGGTTTAACCTTCATGGGGATATATAAGATGAATAAGAACTGGAGAGGGGGTAATTTTATGAAGGAACTTGGGAAATGTGAAATGGTCTCAACTCAACTGATTTTGAACTATGCAATTTCCTATAAATATATTTCTCTTAACCAGTTCGTTAAAATTTACAATTTTTTATAACTATTTTCATCACTGTCTTGAGCTTTAGGTATTTTTCTAGTTTTTATTAGTATAATATTTAACAAATTTGTGTGTTTATGGCTATTTAAGTTGAATAACTAGCTGATATCGATATATCAGACTACATTAAAAATATCAATGAGGATTATCCTATCATGATTAGTAAATGAATGACAGGTTCAATTTAATATTAGAGATATGGTTGTTTTATTAACACCGAAAATCATTTAAATTATTGACTATCCTTAGGACAAAAAGGTACTAAACTTCTATATTTTTATTTTTATAGTTAGAAGTTTAGCCTTAGATTCATAAGTCTGGCAAAACGTATGTTAATTAACTTCAATAGAAAGTGGCTTCAGCTATTATTAATTTAGATAAGACCACTAATCTTTTCAGCATATTTATACTGTTTGCCTTATAATAAAAATAAACTACATGACAAACCAATGTTAACAATTGATCATAGAAGAGATGGTTATTTATTGACTCGAACTTTAAAATAAGATGATCTCTTTCGTATATTTTTATTGCCCGCCATAAAAACGGACGATAGGATATTAGCAATTAACCATAGAAGTGACTGTTATTTGTTTATGTTACATTGTACTGATTCTCTGTTACGAAATTGCAAAAGAATTTGCAAGTTTTAGATAGAATGTTTCACCTTATTTAAGGAAGATGTATGAGTGCTAAATTTATCTAGCTCGGTGCATATTATAAAAATATCACAGACTGATACTGCCTTTTTCTCTTTCTTTTTTCCTGATATGTATTTGTGGATCGGTATGAACTGTGACAACCGATCCGATAAAACGATCCATACGGACATTTTCGTTGCAGCTCCCACAATAAAAGACTCAGACATAGAATTGTTTAGAATCTTTGGACAAATTTATTTGGGACTCATACTTCTACTTGGGAGAAACGCGGCATGAAACAGATGCACCCGAAAAACACCTTGATCAAAACAGTTCTCAATTCCTCCTGGCTGCGGTATGAGAGGGAGGCATGGACCGCACACATCCTACCTGTGGGTGGTAGCGACGTGTGACGAAACACATGCACCAATTCTCTACCCGCCAATTTCTATAGTATTTAAACATCAACAGGGAACCCAGGAACATCGAATCTACCTACCGGGTTGAAGAAGCCACGCTATTTGTGGTGAAACGCGTTCTGGTTTAAGGACATTGCTGTCCATTTTATTTATTTTATAGATTGTTATAATAAATTTATTATATACACTCCGATCCTGGTTCCCGCATTGCATCTTCCACAGATGGGAGTGCAGTCCCAATCTGCACAACGCCTAACTATTGCGTCATATCTTTTGACTCCATATTTGTGAGTACCCATTTGGGATTTTTTTATTGTATATTCTATTAGTGCCAGCAATACTGCGCAATCGTTTGTAGATTTATTCTCCCCACAGAATAAGATCCACATCAGCAAAAGGGGTGGGTCGCCTATACGGACCCAGAAACGATTCAAACCAGAGCTGGGTCTATAGCTCTCCATTTGTGAGTGCAGATACGTTTCATTCATACTATACCACTCTGTCATATATGATCTATGCCATGTCTAATTGTCTCTTGTAGATGCCTAGAGATTTAACAGACAACCAAAATTCTCCTCCTATTGAATTAAAAGGTGATTGATTAATTTATATAAGTGCTACATTCCCTTTTTTTTCGTTTGTATTTTTTATTTGATTTAC